TAAATAACAAAAATACACAAGTTTTATTTATTTTTTACTCTTACTTATGATTAGTCATATTTTTACTTAAGGTAGGGCACAATGGAAAAATTTTAATTAGAAAAAGGCGGCACGACTCGGAAAAATTTGGGAACCACTGATTTTAAAAACTTTTTTTTTGTAATTGGAAGTATATGATTACGATCAATGATTGCAAAAATAAAAGCTGCGTAAGGACTTTGGCAATATATACACACACACACATATATATATATATGTAAAATATAAGAAAATACGATAGCTGCTTTAAAAATAATTGACGACCTCAAAATTAATATTCTAGTTTGGTACTCTCCTAGCGTTGCCACCTCTTGGCTATCAAGATCCGGAAGAGGAAAAAAAGTTTCCGGGAGAAAAAAAAAGTATTTTTTTCAGTCGCAACTGAGAAAGCCTCCACCTCCTTAATCTCATTTAAAAGTATTTCTTGAGTTGCAGGAGCAAGCACACTCTCGCAAACATTTGTACATTTTGTTCTACCGCAAGAAATTTTTTTTTTTTGCCAAAGAAGAATCTGGAAATAAAGGGCTATACAATTTGTTTGTGCAATCCTGGCTATTAAAACTATGATGGTGCTTACTCCCATGATAGACTGGAGTAATTTCAATTGCTTATTATCTTCTTTTAAATATTTCTTCATGAAAAAGCTTGAAACCGTTTGCGATGAATCCCTATTCAATATTAACGATTGGTAGTTCTTGCTTTGGGAATGTACAGTTATAGCTCTAACATCCTCATACTTAATGTTAAACGTTTTCCGACATAATTTATATTCTTCGTTAAAGTTGTCTCTCTTCATAAGCCAATCAAATTAAGTTAACCATTTGTCTTCAAACGACGTTGAATATTTTGCCTTCTTTTGTGCACTTCTTCACTTGCAGAATCAGAATTTTTTTTTTCACTAGACATTATCATGAAAGCATTTAAATAATATCAAAATATGTTCTTGTTCGTGAATAGCTACCTAATAGCAGACTAAATACAAAAATGGATTGAAAATGAGAGGGTGAGGTGTGATGAGGGTACATGCACACGACACGCCGGCATGAAACCACGATACATCTGTACGGCGCTTACTCACTTAAGAGGGGTACTAAAGGTTTTAAATGAAACCACGATACATATGTATGGCGCTTACTCACCGCTCACTGTATATCGCTGCTGCAAAGAATATGTATTGATATAGACCATGGGCTCTCAACCTGTGGTACGCAAGAAAAAACAAGGTGGTACGCAAAGAAGCAAAATATTTTTAACTCTTAAATTTTAAAACCCCCAACATCCTGATTGAGTTTTTTCTCTAACACTTGTAACTTTATGCAATCTGAGCTTTATTTAAGAGTGGTGGTGGTACTAAAGGTTTTAAATTTTTGTTTAGATGGTACGCATTAGTCAAAAGGTTGAGAACAGCTGATATAGACATTCTTTGGCTGCTGTGCGCAGTCGTGTGATTTTCGATGCTCTCAACCATTTTGTACGTGTACATTGTATCGTTATTTTCGAGAAACTTCATATTCCGGGAGAGTAATATTTATTTTAAATTCCTTCCAGGAGCCGAGAGATTTTAATTTTCAGAGCTCAGTTCCGGGAGAATCCCGGGAGAGGTGAGAACCATATGCTCTCCCCCTAAATTCATCTGTTTTCCCAAATTCGAGATCCTTCCATGATTATATAACAACCTCAAATTAATCAATCCTAGCTTAGAGTACTTTCTACATTTACTTAGTATAAATACCACTCGCAAATAAACTGTGCCATCTTTTTTTCCCAGCTTCCACCACGCCAAGATCCACGTTGCTTTGCTTGTCCGTCTAAAATGGTATCGCCCCATTAATCTGTGCATATAAGAAATTATTGTAATTGTTTATGATAAAAAATATATTGTCTATGAAGAATGATTCTAACATGAGAAAAAGATGGTAATAAGCTGAACATGGTTTGGTATCAACATCTTTGTCCCATCATGCTGCTCTGCTAACATGACTATGCATCAGAAATATTACATATATATATATATATATATGTGTGTGTATGTTTGGTACTGCCAATTGCAATAGAAATGGAAGATGCATTGCTAGACCTTATAGCGCTCCCATATACAAAATTTCAGTGCGCTATGGCTAATCATTTTTCATTTAGTTATGCGTGATATGTATATAAATATGTACATACAGACGTCATGAAAAAAATTCCCTCTAAATCCATTTTATAATCCAATTTGGGGGGGGGGAAGTTCTTTAGCTTGTCTGTATGTCTAGACTTCACGGAAAAAAGTTTGGTTAGAGTAGATTTACAGGTGCCCTTGGATTATCGCTAAGTTGTTGTTTCATTTATGGTAACCTGGTTAGTTAAATGTTATGGAAACCTTATTATGACGTAATTGGTTGCATGATTGCAGTCAGTTTGAATGATGTGATAAGATATGGAAAGTGTGCATAAGATTTTCAATAAATATGCTGTTATTTTGTGGTTTACGTGGTAAAATGGCTGAATGTGGTAAAATTAATTTGAAGTTCTGTATGATTTAGGACGAAAAAGAAAAAAGCATTGACTGGTGTATAAATGAAGGTTTATTTAGTAGCCATTATTAAGTGTTCTGTTTGTAGGAAGGAAATGCTTATGGTCGGGCGATATCGGCACTACGGAGGATATTTTTGACTCTTATTTATGTGGTAAAGCCAGCCTACAGACTCTAGTTCAGATAATTTTAGGAAGTTTTTGGATGCTGTTAAGGAATTTTGTTTAACTGAAGACTCATAAATTCGTAAATAATATAAGTGGATATTTCCTTTATGCAGTGCTAAGATGAATTTCCTTTTTTATGTTATTTCATTGCTTGATTTAAAATATAGTTTACTGAGATTATATATTTTTTTTGGCTGATTCTTTGACTTTTTAAGTGAATATAGGTCCATGTACGCATGGACAAAGTCAAGGGAGTGCGCACTGCCTACTTTGTGCAATTCTCTGATGATTTTTTTTAAGTGAAAATAGGTCGATGTGCACTTGGATACCGAGTTTGTGCAATTCTTTGACTTGTTATTTTGAATTTGTCTAGCGGCAATTCTTGCGCTGACATCGAGTTTGTGATTTTGTAGCGGCAAAATTGCACAAACTCACCGAAAGTGCAAAAGAGTTTGTGCAAAATTGCACAAACTCTCCATGTACCACCGAAAATCACAAATTATCACAAGGGGCACCCGTAAATATATTTTTACTAAAAGTTTTCCAAATATATTCTGGAGTCGTCAAAATGGTTATTCCCATTGAAATATGATACCCAACATTTTTTACAATTACAATACATCCTTTACTTCTTACAAGGAAACAAAAATACTACAGTCTGAAACTTCAGTTTATTATCTAAGAATACAATTCTTCAATTTACAGTCTCTAAAGATATACCATTAATGTTCAAAAAGGTTAACAAAATTCTTAAAGATATAAAAATTATAACATTAAAAAGAAACTGCATTCTGGTTGGGATATGAAAAATTTTGTTAAATATGTGAAAGTATTGTTTGAATTAAGAATTACCAGTTTGCTGTTCAGATAAAAATAATGTGCAGAAATAGGTGTTAATCTTTTTTCTTTCATGTTTATATTTTTTAAATTGCTTTGAATTTGGGCTATAAGTTGCAATAATCCATTACCTTATTTCACATTTATTTCCTAATGTATTTTTGTTTGATATTTCATCTTATATTTACTAGTATCATAAAACTTCCTCTTTTCATAGACATACTGCAAAATCAGATTTTGGCCCATTCTTTTCTTACTCTTGATTATATTATTATATCTACTAGCAATTATGAGTGTGATTATTTTGACCCACTTTCTATCCTTTTTGAATCCATTTAAAATTAATTTTAAAATCCCTTTTGGAAAAATGAGTTCTTTATTCTGTGCGTGCATACAGAGATGAGTGAAAAAAATCAAACGGATTTTTGAACAGTCAAAATGAATATATCCTTTGCAATATGATAACCAAAAATTTTTATGATAACAATATTTCCTTTGCTTTATACAAGGAAGTAAAATCCGCGAGCTTCTTTCTTAAATATATTGTTTGCTCCATAACTTTTTAAAAGTCTTGGATGGATTCTGATCAAAACCTGCTTTTACATCCTATTTGAACTATTATTACACTGGTATATCTGACTGATAGCTCCTACTATAAAACTAGTATGATGATTATATTCCTTATGAAAAATGAGTGTATTAAAAAACATTTAATTTTCATAACCATTATAAGTCCAATCAAATGCCACTGAAAATTCCTGTAAAGCTTTTATTTCTTAGATCTCTTTGTCACAGATATTACAGTTGTGTACTCATCAATTCCAGAACATTCTATTAACTCCCAAGAAATTTCTGCAAATATCATTTTACTTCCAGCCAGATAAAAGGAAATGATTCTTAGTCCTGGAAGGCAAGCATATTGATCTAGTTGGGTTTATTTTATTCACTAAATTATCAGTCATCAACCATTTTGCTCTCTATCATACAATAATTATATCTATTTTCCTGTCAGAAACTTACTTCCTAATACTATAACTATCAGTAATTTTCAAGTATTCACATGTGCAGGCATGTTTGCTATTGAGCCACTGCTCCTTCACATTAAACAAAATTTCTAACGTTCATGATTACTAATTCAAATTTTGCCTCTGAAAAGATGTTGCCATATAGAAATATGCTAATAGATAAGTGTTTTTTGTTGAATGGAAAAATTTCGACAATTGTGAGTTCTTTAAAATTTAACTTAATTTTTTTATTTGTAGTAGATGGATTTATAATAAACTGTGAGATTTTATGAAGGAGTTTTCATATTTATTATTATTAATAAAGTTGTGTAATGATTATGAATAACAAATCAAGCTACTGTACAAAATTTAATAGAACCGTTGTTTGCAGATTTGAAAAAAACTTATATGTGAAAATAATTGAAATTATTTTTATAGTGGAATGAAGTGATTCTGGCTTTCCGATCTGGAATGCCAGTCAAGAAACACAGACATCGTATTCATACATACAGTGATTGCTTTACAGCATCAGAAGCTGTGACATGGCTGCATTGTTATCTACTGAATAATCCAAATTTTGGTCCTGATGTGACAAGGTAATTGTTAATCAATCTAAATTTTCAGTAAGTTCTGGAGTTATTTTTACCTTAAGTTATCACATCTTAAGTATATTCCCAATTAGTTTCTTATTAGTTATTCACATTGTTCAGAAAATATCACACTATGTAAAGTTTAACTCTCTTGGCTATCATCCAATGTTAAACTCTATGTAGATTTTCAGTGACTTATCACTAAGCCTAAAGTACAACAAGGATGTAAAAGACTCTTTATTTAAAACTAAAATAGAGGAACAAAAGGCACTCCTGGTACTTATTCTGCCAGTATTTATGGCAAGAAACTTAAAGCAGTAAATAAAACATAAAGCTTAATTTTAAATAAATAGCCAAAGGCTACACAAGGCAATTTAATGTGAAGTTGGCTCAAAACTTCACTGGTGTGGAATTTAGCTGTAAGCAGCAAGGCTGAAGACAAGAACTCTTATCTTATTTTATTAATTAGTTGCCAACCTAGTAATGAGGCCTCAAGAGGCTGAACATACTCTGTCTTAACAATGTCAAAACCTCACTTAAATACATGTGAACTAATTTGAATTTTGGTGGGGAAATGGAAAGATAGAAGTGACAGTACAGATTCAGAAAGCAAAATAAGTGGTTATTCAAATTATAGGAACTTCACAACTATAAGTATTTCTGGTTCTTATATGTTAACTGAGCAGAAGTGAAAATTTACCAGGATATGCTGTTTATGCACTCTTAAGTATCAGTATCCGTGACAAGTTCTTTACCATCTATCTGATCAAAATTAAAACAGAATTTTATTAAACTCCTGATAATCCATGATAATTAATGTATGGGTAAATACAGATAATTGGAAAATGCAAATAACCAAAGAGTAAAACTGTATGCCGTCACTTCTTAAAATAAGATTTAATTAAAATATTGATAAAGCTTTGCTAATTTTTAGTTGAGGATATATGGGCATTTATGATTACTAGAGATTCAAGTAGAAATGTTGCCAAGTGAAAACATATTGATTCGATAACTATTATCAACAAAGTATTATTGCTATTCGTAAGTAACTACAGCCCAATAAACAGTTTGCCAAAAATCACCAATCTTGTTCTTCCAAACGAAGACTGAAACTTATGAAGATTAAAAATTTGCATCTGGAAAAATGTATTGCATTATGTTTATTGCTTTCATATATTAATATTTCGAAGATATTGCTAAATCTATGATGCCATTACTTTGAAGTCAGTTTATTGACTTTTCAGTTTGTGATCAGTTTTATAGTCTAATTGTTCTCTCTATATTCCAGTAGTTCATTTTCACTTTCTTCGTTTTGCTTTTCTATTAGATCTTTGAAATATATCATTTAGAGGTCCATTTGATAAAATCATACAACCTTTATTGTTGTAGTCTTTCTGTAACTTTTATTTCATGGTTTCTTCTCTTATATTTTGAAAAATCCTTGAGCACCAGATGTGATTTCCATTAGGCATAATGGGCATTAATATCAATCTTTGGAAGGTGCTAGCCAAGTTTTTCTTTAGAATGATGAAATCCCAGTGAAACAACAAGACTAAAACATTCAAATACTGTGCTGCATTGTTAAGTATGGTAGTTGAAAAGATGATTTTTGTTCTTGCTTGCTGAAGGAGCTGCTACAGATATAAGCTTTTGGCAATATTTGAAATTTACATTTTACAGATTGAGGGATTTTGCTTCTTTTGGCAACTAAGCATAGTGACTTAAGTGTCTGGATTTTTAAAATTATCTTGTGAGATGTTAGAGTAAATTTGACTTACTATAAAGATGTCGAAAAGTTCCTTGTTCTGTGTAGAAAGGCGATTTAAAAGCTGTGTGGTTGAGATTAATCATTAGAAACATGTAAATAACTGCTTGATTGTGAACATTCAAATGAAGCCCAAAAAGATTTTAGAATGCACATTGCTCCAGTATCTAACTGCAAATTAAGTGAATTTTTATTAACATCAACAGACTATTTGTTTTCTTTTTTATTCAAACTAAGGTTTAATATACTTACATAAAATTTTAATTTTTCCTTTGAGTCATGATTTATTAATTTAATTTGTTTCTCATATTTGTTTGCTTTGATAGCTTCTTTTTTTATTTTTTTTATTTTATAGCTTTTACACTGATTTGCAAAATTATTCGCCTTTTTACACTTATAGATTTTTCCATGTGTAGAACATTTTCGATATTCATGCTGTATTTAACATTTAGAACAAACTTTAGTCACTTCTTAATATTTACTTCTTATCTCTTTGTATATGCTCTTATAATGTTTACTTAGTTTCTTTTACACTAAGTTTACAACAGTTTCGTCTTTTATTTTCATTTGGTGTGCACTTATTTCTGAATATCTGCATATATCAAGAGCTTTTTTTAATGTTAATTCTGTTTCATGCAATAATCTTGCTCTCACTAAATTGTCTTTAATACCATAAATGATTGTGTTTATTCAATATGAAGGTTTTTATTAAGTGCAGAAGGGAAATTAACAATCCTCTCACATACTTTATCATGAAAAAATGTTTGCTGCATATACGTGAAAAATTAAGCATTTGCTAAAGCGAAATAATATATTCAGAATCTAATTCTTTCTTCCTTTTCACAAAAAATAAAATTGAAAAAAAAAAAAAAAAAAAAATACTGGAGATCCAGATATTAGATCATTTTGAATACTTGGATGTCCATATGTCAGACTTTATTCTGTATTTACCTTCAGGCAGTCACTAGTTGGTTAGTTGGTTGTACAACTGTGCATTTCGTATCGTTATTTAAATGAACTTACAGCTTGTAAAAAACCTGTTTATTTGTGCTTGTTGTTAGATCAGCATTCTATCAATAGCTAATGTTTTGAAATGTGCATAACTTTTGACAGTTGTTTGCATGCAAAAATGCATCCTGTTAAACTCAAGTTGCAGATAAAATTCTAATAATGATTTTGATTTAGATGTTGAACTGCAAACCATGTCCAAACGTGGATAGAGAAGGACATGTTTTTCAAAGTAAATGTTCACTTTTGTACTCTTGTGATGTTGGTGCACAGTAAAATTGTATGTTATACTTGTAATAAAGGACTCTGGTTCCAAAAGAATATGGTTTGAGTTGCAATTATAAAACAGATCATATAGGAGCATTTTAATTATTGAAAGGCAGATTAAAGGAACAAATGCTACAGTTTCAGAAATATGGCACAGCAAAATTTTTTAATGAAGCAAATAAATCCAGTGGAGTGAGAGATCACACAAGTATTAATCTCGCACATATCATTGCAAAACAGTTAAAACCATTTATTGATAGTAAATTCTTTCAAGAGTGCTTGATTAAATCTACTGAGCTTCTTTATCCTGACCATGTTAGTAAAACATATTAATAAAATCATTAATGATTTGTGATGTTAATTAAAAGAAAGAAGTTTAGACGTTGTTGAATTCTCAGTAGCAGCAGAGGAGAAAACTAACACATAATTGATATAGCACAACGTGCCTGCTGCCAACCTACCGGTAATTGGTTGAAACAATTGGGGAATTATTTGAAATAATTCTTGTAAGTAGAAAAACGGGTGCACAGGATATTCAATCTAAAATAAAAACTGAAATAGATATAGGGGAAAAGATAAGAAGGGAAAAAATGAATGCATTTGCATGTGATGGCGCAGCTGCTATAGTTGGGGGCGGGAGTGACAGTAAAATTAAGAAATACAGCGAAAAAATCATTTTTGCATTATGTATTCATTGAGAAGTACTTTGTGCCAAAAGTTTGCAGATGGATAATGTTATAGAAACAGTAAGTAAAACAGCAAGCTTAATCTGTGAACGAGCTCTGAATCATTGAGAGTTTATTGCATTGCTTGAAGAAACTGAAGATAAGTACAGAAAAATGATTGATTTTAATGAAGTGGTTAAGGAAAGGATTAATATTAAAATTTACTTTTTATTCAATACAGTACAAAGTCTTTAATCTGGACTCGTCGGGACCTCAGCGATTCCGGATTATAGATCATCAATTTAAATCTGGTAAGATGGCATGCAGAAATTATAAAATTAAAAATATGAAACCATAATTTATGAAATAAAGAGCAATTATGAACTAAAGGGTATCAAAATTTACAAAAAAAAAAAGCTTAATATTTATTTGTTTACTTTATTAAACATTTCTTTCAATGTAAGTTGCTTTGTTTTATGTGATAATACTTTCTCTTTAATTCTATAAACAGACATAATTTCTTGTTCAGTTATGAAGTTCCGCTGTTCAAGTCCCGTTAATTGCTGTGCTGAGAATACCAACTAACTTGTCAATCAAAATTTTTTCGTTTTCACTAACCTCTCTGTTGCTTTCTTCATGCCTTTATCCATTTTTTGCAGCTATTCAACTCTTTGTTTGATGGACATCAAAACATGTTTTCGCTTTGTAGATCCTTTGGCAGCTCCAGAATCGGAAACTCTTTTTGGCATAATCGAAAGTTCAAGCTTACTTTTTATAAAATTGCTCTAACAGTCTGCAAAAAATAATAAGCCGGATCCAATTAGAAGATTAAGGAACAATGCAATCTGCAACATTAACTGAAATAGAAAATGAGCTTAGCTTATATCGTCCGTTATACATTAAACGTGCATGCATAAAGGTATTATGCACATGCGTCAACGCATTAATGCGTTGACGCATGCGCAGAAAGTTTGTAACTTTGAGGTCCGGTTTATAGATCATTCCGGATTAAAGACTTTGTACTGTAAATGAAATAAAAATTTTCATAATATAGACACAAAATAAATAAGTGAAACCATTGATGAGCTACATAATGATATGTGGATAACCAATTTAGCATTTCTTTTTGACTTGATAAGCTGTTTAAATATTCTCAAAAAAGAGCTACAAGGAAAGATTAAACTTATCACTGAAATTTAGATTTGTGTTAAAGTTTTTAAAGTTAAACTGCAGCTGTGGGAAACACAACTAAAACAACAACAACAACAACAACAACAAAAAAAAAAATACTTATCCTGCATCTTAAATCCTACCTTATTATGAAATAAAAATCTCAAATTTACAAGGAAAATAGCATTATTGAGGATTTTTAATGATTTGGAGTCAGATTTTACATTATTTTCAATACTATTAAAAATGAACATGAATAACAAATGAAAGAATTTACAAATAGAACTAATTAATTTTGGTGTGATATAAATCTTAATCAAAGATTTGGAAATACAACTTTGATTAATTTTTATTTATACTTGTCAAATGTTAAGTATCCTCAGGTACAAATTTCTGTGAGAAGAATGTCGTTTAGTTTTGGAGTGCATTTATATGTGAACAATTGAAAATTAGTAAGAAATAAGTTTAAGGAACCTTATTGACTGATGAACATTTACAATTCATAATGAAAATAATTTCTTGTAATTTGTCTCTAAGGTTACAAAATTTGTTAGAATTGAAACACCATCAAGTGTCTAGTAGTAAGAAATAAAGAAGTTATCACAATTTCTTTATTTTTTGTTTAAATTAAATGTAAGTTATCTAGTGGTTAATTCAACATATTAGAATTATTTGAAATAAATGCCAGTCTGAAAATTTAATCTTTAGCTTTCAGTGCATTTGAATCGCAGAATGTAACTAACAAAAATTTCTTGTTTGCTTCTTTCCTTTGGATTTCAAATAGAAAGTAAATATAAGTCTGAATTTTTTATTCTCCATAATTATTGTTCATTTATGTGTTGAAATAAAATTTAAAATTGACCTCAGTCTGGTTTCCAGTAGGTAAACTATAATTTTTTCATTGGTGTAGAACCTTTTCCTTGCATGCCATTGGAGATTAGTTTTGTTTAGACTGCTAGATCTTGTATTAAACTTTTAAACTTCATTTTAAGTTTTAGCAATATAATTTACTATAGAAAAACTGATTTTTTTCTAAAAGTTGAGATTTAAATGCTAAGTTTTTTTTTTTTTTTTTTTTTTTCAGGCAGTGCATTGATTATCCACAGAACTGTTAATCATATCCAAATAATTAGCTGTTTAATGTATTAAAATAGGTTAAATTTGTAAATTATAAACAAACATTATTTTGCATAAAACATTTGTTAATTAAAAAATATATTAGAATCTATAAGTAAAGAATTCTTGCATGAAAATGTTTTATTTAAGAAGTGTAATTTTTTAAAGTTCTGCATTAAAACTTCAAAGATATACCAGGGCTCAGCTAGGAAGTGCTGAAATGTTATGGAAAGTCGAGGAAAGGAAAAATAATCAAGAAAAGTCAGTGAAAATATAATTTTTTTTTTCTTTTTAAATTCATTAAAATATTAAGTAATAATAAGTTACTTTTTCTCAAAAAAGTCATGAAAGTACACATCAGCTGTCACAAGTAATAAAAAGGTAATATTTAAAATAGCAACAAATAATTAAAAATTCTACTTAAAAAATCAAATGAGGAATTATTGTAAATTTTGAAAGTACTTAATTCATTTCAATTCATATCAATTCATATCAGATACAATTAAATTTTTTCTCTGTATTTATTAATGAGTGATATTGTATATCCCTCGCTTTAGAATTTTATCATTGCCCTTTAAAAATATGTAATGTAATTAAGAAGTTGTCACATTTCGTGTATGTATGTGATAAGTAATGATATTTCTTTGTTAAGGTGGCCACTGTTGTAGTTACCAGCTGATAACTTGGTTTGTCCAATTTGTAATGTACAGTTTCATATGTTACCATAGGCCTGTGCAGTGGACTTTTTAACAAGGAATTATACAGTAAACATTTTTTAATCCAGTAGAGATAGTCCTCGTATGCATTGTCCTACTTCAATTAATTTAACCTTTTTTTTGTCTAGTGTAATTTTTAACTCTGTAGTTTTACTTTGAAACAAAACATGACTTTTTATTAGTATTAATTTATTATAAATTATGCACTGTTGTAAATTTCTTTCTCAGAATGATTTTTTTTAAAAATCTAATATTTCCTTTTAAAAGCCCTGTCTAATTTTTTTATGGTTTAGATGCATGTTAGTTCATGCATAAAATGGTTCATTAATTTATATTTAATTTGCTAATTAGTTCATCATGTTTTGGTGAATGATATTCAGTTTGATCATAAAAATAGGGAAATTAAAAGTTGAATTTCAGTGACAACTTCTTGCACATAAAATTTTCTGACATATGAAAATTCGATCACTTAAAAATTCTTAATTCCATGACACTAAGAATAATGCACTTTTATGAAATTTTATTAGTAAAGTGAGCTTTAAAGTTATGTGTATAAAAATTTTGTTTTGAAAGCTTTATTTCAGTTGATTGATATCTTATCATCTGTAATTAAGACAAATAACCGCCGAATAAAACTATTCAGAAACAACAAAAATCAGCGTTATATTCACAAAATTTTCACAGGACTAGTTTCGATGGTTTTACCGAAACCATCATCTCAGCTGCAAAACCGCAAATGAACAAGATAGGAAATAATGTTTAGATAAGATAAGAAAGCCTGGACAAGAATAAGCAAGTGGCGCCATCTGTTGGCATGAAACCAGAACTAAAACATAATTTCTCTAAAAGCCGAAGGCAAATTTGGATTGGAATTAGGATCGTTAACTAGAACAGAAAGATTTTTATGAATGTGAAATGCCTCTAGAAAATCCAGTTCTCCAATGGAAGATGTTTTTTGAATAATTTTGGCAGCAGAAAAATTGAAAGTGTGATTTTCGGACCAACAATGTTGAGCAACAGAAGACTTCTGTGTTTCCTTTTTTCTAACATATGCCTCATGTTCCTTTGACGCGAAATTTTAAGGCTCTCTTAGTTTGGCCAATGTAAATTAAACCACACTGGCAAGGAATCCTATAAATACCCCAGGAATTCATATCCGGAATGGGGTCCTTGAGTATAGAAGTTGGAATTTTATTGATGGGAGAATAAACAACCCGAAAGTTAAATTTCTGCAAAATATGTGCAACTTTATAGCTAATTGATGGAAAGAAGGGAATGACAACAGAATTTTTATAATCTCCTAAAAAATAAGAGTGTGGCTTTTAGTGTGTTGAGATGAGAATTTTTTAACTGCTTGATTAATAATGTTGGGTGAAAAGCCCCTGTCAATAGCTATTGCTTTTAAATAATTTAGTTCTTCATCAAGGGCTAGTTTGGAGGAGCAAACTTGAAGAGCACGGAAAACATAGGAATAAAATGATGAAGCTAACTTTTGTTTAGTCGGATGACATGATTTAAAGTGTGGTGGAAGGCAAACCGATGAAGGTTTACGGTAAACTGTAGTACTGAAGTTTGGATGTGTTACGTGTGACCAGAATGTCGAGAAACGGAAGAGAATTGCAAGTCTCAAGTTCAAAAGTGAACTGAATAGCAGATCAATAGAATTCATTGTTGAAAGAACTTTATTTAAATCATCTTTATTACCTTCAAACAGGGTAAAAGTATCGTCTACGTAGCGGAACCATGCCGGGAAGTTTAAAGTTTCAAACAATTTTGATTCATAATAATGCATGTAGATATCAGCCAGGATGGGACTGAGGGGGCTTCCCATGGCTAATCCCTCAGTTTGCTTGTAATATTTATTTTGGAAAACAAAATGTGTTTGTTTCAAACAGAGTTGAGTGAGAGAAATTAGCTCATCAATTTCGATGCAAGAGAAATGAAATTCGCGAAAGTCTGGTTTCTAGACATCTTAATGCACCCTTCCACTGGGAACATTGGTGAATAATGATTTTACATCAAAAGAAACCATGAGTTAAATTTCTAGGAGAAATGTTTTTAACCTTTTTTACAAACTCTATTGAATTTTTTATGGTGTAAATGTTATTTGTCTAATAGAGTTGAAAATCTAGAAACTAAATATTTAGCTAATGGATACGAGGCAGTTTCTAAATTTGATACAATAGGGCGGAAAGGAATACCACTTTTATGAATTTTGGGAAGAGCATATAATCTGGCACAATTCGCAACAGATGGGATAAGCGAATGTTTTAAGTTGCTTGAAATGATTTGTGAAAATTTGATCGCAGTTTTTATTTTTGACAGGTCCGAAGGTGAAGGATCTTTAGGGATCGGATTATATGGTCCTTCGTTTAAGAGTTTAGTGACACCATCGATGTAAGTGTTCTTATCCATGACGACTATCTGGCCACCTTTGTCGGCCTTTGAAATGATAATATCCGGGTTAGAATGAATTTCGCGCATTGTAGCTCTTTCTCTCGCAGTTAGATTTGGTTTTCAAAGGTTTATTATTGAATTTCACATTATGAGCGATAAGATGCCTAATCATTTCTTTCTGTGAATCTGAAACTTTACTGAACTTGAACTGAAAGCTTTTTCGATAGGAGCCAAAATCTTTGGAATCGAGGGTTTACAGGTTTGTGAGAAGTTAAAATTATATTTTAGAATTCTCTCTTGTTCTTCTGAAAGACTAACATTAGAAATATTAACTATTGGCTTGATGTTTACAATGGGAAGATTTTTTGAACTACTTGAACTGGAAGACTGTAAAAGAAGTTTTTCGAATTTAACTGCAAGGGTGTTTTTGTGACGGTTAACTGCATTCTCCGTTCTAGACCAAGACTTTTGTTCAAGGGCAGTGAATTTTGGATATGTTTTAGCGAGTTCCAGTTGAAGCTTATAGAGTTCATGTTCAATTTTGGACAATTGTTGACGTGTATCCCTTATCACGGACCGAACCGAAGTAAGGCAAGTTTGCAATTTAACAGAATTCTTGAAACGCGACTCGAAGGTTTTTGATTAGATTTGATTTGAATAAAATTGGGGATAAATTTTTTACATTTACATTTAAGTAAAAAGTCAAGATGATTCAGGAATTTTTGCCGTTTCAGGCGTAATTTAGTGAAACGATTAACGGATGAAGGCATGATAAACAATGCAGAAAATCAAACTAAATTAACTGAGCAATATTAAATTACACACAAAATAGCAGAAAAATCCCTCACTGAAATGATTGGAAAACAAAATGTTTGTAAGCAAAAAGTTCCTTGCCAGTGCGGTTTAATTTACATTGGCCAAACTAAGAGAGCCTTAAAATTTCGCGTCAAACAACATGAGGCATATGTTAGAAAAAAGGAAACACAGAAGTCTTCTGTTGCTCAACATTGTTGGTCCGAAAATCACACTTTCAATTTTTCTGCTGCCAAAATTATTCAAAAAACATCTTCCATTGGAGAACTGGATTTTCTAGAGGCATTTCACATTCATAAAAATCTTTCTGTTCTAGTTAACGATCCTAATTCCAATCCAAATTTGCCTTCGGCTTTTAGAGAAATTATGTTTTAGTTCTGGTTTCGGCAACAGATGGCGCCACTTGCTTATTCTTGTCCAGGCCTTCTTATCTTATCTAAACATTATTTCCTATCTTGTTCATTTGCGGTTTTGCAGCTGAAGATGATGGTTCGGTAAAACCATCGAAACTAGTCCTGTAAAAATTTTGTGAATTAACGCTGATTTTTGTTGTTTGACTTCTGAATCAGATCTTATCATCTGGTTGTCATCTGCTAATGTATGTTATCTGAAAAATGTATTCATGCAATCAGAAAACAAAAGCTTTGAAAATTTCAGATAGTTTTCATATGACATAGATTAGACAGTAATATGCTGATTATATCTATTAATCATTAAATGCAATAAATATATGTTACTGTGTGCTACAATCTGTATATGTTTTCTATTACTGAATTTTATGCTACGAAAAGCTGGGATACTTGTGGAACTGTGTTAAGAAGGTTTATTCTATGATGAATTACTTCTGTGAGAACTGAACACAAATTTATCCGAGATTATTATTAACATTTATTAAAAATTCCTTTTTAATACAGTTGATAGTTTTTAAGTTGTTCATTAACTATCTTAATTTCTTCAGCTTTTGATAAGCTTTTCTTCAGTATAAGACTTTCTGTGTAAGAAATTTTTTAAATCTCTGGATATTTAAAAACTTTTTAACAAAGTTCTGCTGAATAAATAAAGTCATTTTAATAGACTGTGTTTTAAATTGTGAACAGATATTGCTTTATGTAAAAATCTTAACTGTTTATAACTTTAACTGTTTATAAGCATTATTTTGGTGATTTATCATGAGTTTTGTTCTGAGCTTTCCAAAATCATTTTGAACCACATATGTAGCAGGTACTCAAGCCATACGCATTCATATGTATTTTATTAATGCAAATTATAAAACCAGCAGAATCACACTAGGTCATGAGCAAGCATTAAGGGATTACTAAATCTAATTCTTTTATAATAAAAATATTTTTAGGTGTATATTAGTGTTTATTTTATATATTTGATTTCTTAAAACCAAAATGCTCCTTTCTTTCAAATTATTATTCTATCAGACTCTCGTATATATGGTAAAGTATTTATTAACTATGTATTTTACAAAAACAGACAGGAACATTGGCAAAAAGTATAAAACTGAAAGAGTTGCATTACAAAGTGATAAATTATAATCAATTTGAGAAATGCAAGTTCAGTATTCAAATAAATATATTTATTATGCACAGTATTTAAACAATACAATTTTCCATATTTGCCATTCTGTGTGATGTATAAGCTAAGACATAAATATTAATTTAAATTCAGTAATTTATGATGGAGTTCATGTGAATTGTTAATTAAAGTGACCAAAGGCTCAGGCATTGTTAATTAACATAATGTATGTCTCAGAGTAGTACAGTGGAGCCTCCTTAAGATGACTCTTACTTATGTAGATAGTTTTGGTTCTCTGTGAATGTTGTTGCCTTCTGTGAAGGTTGTTAACTTCTACTCATCAGTGACTAATATGTTCTCAGAATTATTTGTCACAGACGTGATTGTCTTAAGGAGGTGGTCACTGTGTATATTTTTTTACACATTTAGTTCTTGCAATGGTGTTAAAAAGATGAAGCTGTTTGAGATGCAGATTTCCTTTAATTTTTTTCTCTTTTTCTAGGAAACAAACTATTCATTTATTACAGAAATTTTTAAAATGTCACGTGATTGAAAGCTGCCTTTTTCAGTCTAAAAAGACTGAATTCTCTGATAATTCTCATTTATACAGGTAAATAAGTATTTGTTATGTTTCAAAGATCCCTATAAAAAGCAAATCTTTTGTTTCCCTCTTTATATATATATTTTAATTTTATAACAGTTATTTTAATTTAGATAATCTTTCCTATCAATTCTTGTTTCCCCTTACAACTCCGTACCAGAATGAGTTTTTAGAATTGCTTTGAATGCAAATTAGTTAGAAGAAGTATTTAAGGAAGTTTCAACTTACTTAATGAGAGAGAGCTAAGAATCCTGAGTAGCGTATGTTTGCCATCGGGCTAAGTCTCTCTTGAAGCTGTTACACTCAACCATATATTACGTGCCTTTTGATATACACTGGCTAGTTTAAATTAAGGACCAACTATATTAGATACTTGTATTAGCTTCGGCTAAGTCTCCTTTAGTTATTTATAGTTTAGTTCTTATTTGTTAGAGTTTAAGCCTGAGAAAGGGACCAATTGTTGTTCTTGTGAAATAAAGTGTATTCTAACCCTTCTTGAGTCTACATCTTTAAGTGAACTGAGTGATAAGTTGCTACACAGTTGACTAGATTCCTCAACATTTATCTTATGCAAAAAGAGTGAGGAACCCTATAATATAAGTAAACAATTTAATTAATCGCAATAAATTGCCTAATACTTGTGTTCAAACTGGATAATACTTTGAAATTACTTCAATCAACAAATTGTACTGAAATATAAACTTGTTATCTGAATAAATCTTTTATAGCTGTCGGCTTTTCTTCCCCCTTTTTTTTTATTTACCATTACATATATTTTGCATTTCTGGAGTTAATTAAATTTTTTCCCCTTATCTTAATTTTTTATATTTATTTATTTATTTTTGCTTATTTGATGTATTACTGGCAAAATCCTTTGTATTTTGAATATCATCTTTTTCTATGAATACTGAAGCTTGTTAGATTTAGCACCTACAGCATCTGTTTACTTATCTATATCATCTATATGACAAGTTAAAATGTTAAACTCTCTTTGTTCATTTTAAGTTCAAGTTATTTATTTACCTAACAAAGTGTGGAAAACTAATCTAGAAAAAGTGTTTTCAATTGGAAATTAATGAAAAAATGTAGTGAAATTCACTTTCATATCATTATGTAATCATCACAAAGATTATTTTTATGTGCATGCTTTGCATTAACATGATCAATTTGGAAGAACTGAAAATAATATGTTTACTCAAAATCACTATAAATTAGTTTACTTGCAGTTTTTATTTTTTAATCAGCCGGATGTCATGCCAGAATTTTAGAAATTTCTTTTTCTTATCAGCAGAATGGATGGGCATGAAAATCTTTTTTTTCCTGGAATTCTTGAGTTTAAATAAAAATATAATAGATTTAAATTTATAAGAAGATAAATGATAGGCTATAAGTATAAATACAGTTCAACAGATAAATTCTAATTTTTTATATCTAGAATTTGATTTTTTCTCCCTTTTCTTGGCAGAAAAAAGGAGATTTTCTCCCTTTTTTTATCAACATAAAAATCATTGTGTGCTGTTTGCTTTTACATGTGTGCAAACCCAAATATATTTTTTCTTTCTTATAATCAAAATACAATACCTAAATTTCTTAAAATAAGAGATAACTTTAGTGATCTATAGGCTATTCTCGCAAAAAATTATTTATATGGTGTTAAAATAAGTGCAACTACCAGAAAATTCATTTAACCCTAAGTAGTGCCTCTGCATATCTGCTTGCCTATTGCAATCATGCTCCTTCATCAAGCATGTGTTGACTCTTGCTATTATTAGCTCTAATGTATTTTTCATTCTGTATGAGTCTCTGAAATTTGAAAAACTATGAAATAGAAACTATGAGCCTTTTTCAAGACTAGAGAATATTGCCAAAAGCTTGAGAATGTTCTGATTCCCTACTGAACTTATTATAGTGGTTCCTCAGTTCACGAATGTAATTCATTTGTGAAGTCCTTTCAAAATCCAAAATGTTTGTAAACTGAAACAATTATCCTTATAGGAATAAACATATATTAATTCCTCTCTGCATCACACAGGTTGCTTATTTAAAATTTAAAATGTTGCTTTGTGCTGCAATTCACATTTAAAAAAAAAAAAAAAAAAAAAAAAAAAAAAAAAAAAAAAAAAAACTTATGGAAATTATTAAGGTAAAAGATCAACACTATAAAATTAGATGAAAACTTAATTTAGTTGTACAGTACCTGTGTGAAAGAGAGTGAAGAGCATAAGTGATGAAGAGAAATAAAAGAGCTATTATTGTTTGCATTAGGAGTCCCCTTCCATAAAAACAGCAGTAACTATCTTTTGGGGAGTTTTTTTTTTTTTTAATTATTATTTTTTCATTTTTTCTTTGAGTTTTTTTTTAGTGCCATCCAATTTTACTTGAGACTCACTAAGCTTTTATTTCACTCAAGAATGTTTCTTAAGTGAGACATGATTATTGTCACTGAAAATGCTTATGCTGTACCTTGCTGTCGCTACTGTTACATGAAACTTTGCATCTTACCTCATTTTGCACAAATTTAACAGATCAAAGGGCTAAGAACATCTTCATCTTCCTTCCTATTCTTTTTCATCTTTCTTCCTTCCCTTTTCTCTTCTTCTTCCATTTCCTTCACAAATGTCTTTTTTTTTCTGTCCAGTTTCTTAAATTGTTTTAGCATTTTTTGTTGACTTTTATGATCCTATAGTAACTCCTCTATATCTTCATTATTAACTTCTGTGCCCATTATTTTGTCCAGGGATGCAATGCCATAAATTAAAAAAAAAAATGTCCTCAGTGTCAAAGCCCTCAAAATCCGTCTGCAACATAATTTCTTGTTAACCAGATTCATGGTCCTATAAGGCTTCATTCAGCTCAAAGTTTTGTCATCATAAGGTTTTATGGCTTTAACCCTTTCAAGATGGTGCATTTTTACTTAAGATGCTTCCTCGAAATGGATGGGAGTCAAAAGGAATCATCCTACAAGATGGGGGTTTTGCTTCACCAAGCCTAACTTTATTTAAAAAAAAAAAAAAAAAAAAAAAAAAAAAAAAAAAGCAACACAAAGTTGAAGTCTTAGCATCATAATTTTTGGTACTATTTCAGATTGTTACAAAGTTATTATAAATGTTAAAATTAGCTTTTAATAATCCTTTTCCTTTACTTTACATGAAAATATACAAAAAAAAAAAAAAAAAAAGTGCTCACTTTGAGAAAAGTTTTGGAAGCTCTGTTCAAATTATTCCAAAGTTTTAATTGACAAAATATATTAGTAAACTTTAAAATTAATAAAAAAAAATTACAAGGAGAAGTAGCAAAATCATTCATGGGAAGTAGAAGGCAGGCACTCGGTGAACCCAGTGTCGTACAAAATGCTCCTATTAAAATATCTTTATCTAATGCTTTAGAAAATGAATCATCACCCTCATCCATGGCAGTAATTGGCTCATTTACCATGCAGCAGTGTTACAAAAATAATTTTTAAATGAGCATATCTTTAGAATTTCCAATACACAGTTCCGCGTCGCTGGAGATAAAAAGGTCCCCCCCAATAGAGTGTTGCCATTGCTCGCTTTTAAATCGTTGAGTTTGTTAATCAAAAATTCATTAAAGCTTTACAAAATATGAAATGGATAATAAAGCAAATTCCAAATTTGGGCTTTCAGATGCCCATATTCATAGTAGGATTACATCATTCAAAATTAGATGGCTCTACCGCTGTTTTATCACAATGCAAGAAACATACATACATTTATACAGATTTTTCATTATTTAATTTCTTCAAATATAATACAGGGCAATGATTTGAAAATTGATGCACCGTTTATAGAGTTCCGATGCAAAATCTCAAAACAAAAACAGCAATTCTTCAGGGACAAAGCCCCTTTAAACTAACAAATAAAATAAACTAATAATAATAAAAAAAGGATTCGAAGGGATATAAAAAATGTGAATGTTTATATCATTTGCCAAATTAAAGAGCCAAGCTCAATGTCTGCACATTAGACTTGCCCTTCTCACTCTCAACAGCTGACATCAAGACAACAAGTTAGACGGAATGTGATCCAACAGAAAGTTAGTATTCTAAAACTATATTCAGCATCTAGTTGTCTTTAAAAATTGATTCAGCTTAAAATGCATATATGCATCACCTGTCCCCTAAGTTCATTCTCCAGTAATGCATTGATGGGATGTATATATGGGATGTCTGTCTGAAAAGGGATAAGGCATAAAAATAATTAAGTCCATTCACTCCTGTTTTATAGGGTTTAAGCCAAGGAAAGGGAAGTTATGCATGCATAAATGTGTAACTGATTCAGAAAAATTGTTGACTGATATTTGCTTTGCTTGCTATGATTGGTTGAGTCTTATACCAAGTTGGCAGGAAGTTGAAAAGTTGGAACATTTAGGCAAAATCCTTAAGCCTTTGTAACATAGAAAAGTCTGGTTGCTTAGCATAAGACTGCTGATGATTTTAAAACTATCGTGCGAATGAAGTTTAAGTTATTTGCTGCTAGGCTTTGTTAATGAGAATTAGGCAATGGAAAATAGAGTTTTTCCAGGAATCCTCAGCAGTTAATTCTATATCATTATCTCAAATTAACTTTTAAAAATCATTTATTATGATTTGAGTGTCTATAGCTTGAAAAACTATTCATCCACTGAGATGTTTGTTGTTCATGTAATTTGTTAGTTCATAATCCAAGGTTCCAATGTATTATTAAATATATATACTGTATTTTACAAACTATAAGATGCACCTTAATTTTTAAGCAATTTTTTTAAACAATAGTTTTACCATTTTTAGCATTAGATTGCAAAGTCAGACTAAAAAAAAAAAGTTTATAAAACCAAACTGACTTAAAATCCTTGAAAATTGTCATCTGAACTTTCTTCCTCTTCCTGTTCTCTTCATATATAAGATGGTTTTCACTGCCATCGAGAGCGTTACTTATGCTGCACTTCTTGAAAGATTTAACAATAATATCTTCTCTTACTCTAGACCACGACTGTTTTATCCACTGACAGAC